GGAGAAGGCGTGGGCTAACCAGGCAGTCTCTTCTCTTCTAACCCACTGAGGTGGGATTTTAACACTGTCCCAGGTGATGCTTGTGAGGTACCCGGTGGCTTTAATGCGTTGTCCCTGCTAGACTGCACTGTGCATTGAACCTCTGTCCTTCCCCTCACCCTGCCATGACGACAGTGGGATTTCAAAAAGGAAATAACACCCAGACCTTCACTTCTTAGGGATGTCTTTTGTCCCTCTAGCCCTAGTGCGTTCCCTCCCTGCATGCCCTAAGGTAGGGAGAGGTGGGGTACAGGGATGCCATCCCTTCCCTGCACATGGCCTGGTTCCTCCAGGGCTGTTGGGTTTGCTGTGACGTGGAGAAGGACATCCCCAGTGCAGGTGACAGTCACACTGCACCACAGCTGAGTCAGCCTGAGACATCCAGAACTGCACCTGAGCTCCTCCATCCAGGCCCTTGGGTGGGCTGTGCTTCCCACACCGCCTCTTCCCAGCCTCCAACAGCACGAGGCTGCCTGAAAGCTATTTTCTGTGAGAATCCTGGCTCTTTGGGAAGCAGCAGGAAGATGGGGCTAAAAGCTGAGCCCAGGAGTGCCCCCTTGGAGCAGAATCAAATTCTACATATATATGTTGGGGGTTGGACTAGATAACATTCAAAGGTCCCTTCCAACCTGAACTATTCTATGATTCTATGATCTCTCACTGTCTGTCCCCCTGGGTGTTGGCTTTTCACCACCACCACTATCCTGGGATTCAAGAGAAATAAATGAAATATGGTTCAAAAAGCTGCCTAAGCTCAAACCCAGCACATCCCTGTGGTTTCCTGACACCTGCATTTTCCTGCTTCCCTGCTCCCCTCACAAAGTCTGGGATCTTGGTGGGAAAGGCTGCTGTGCCACATCCATGGTTGGGCAGCCCAAATCTGCCCCACTGCCCAGCCCCAGACAGGGACTGCTCAGTCCCAGGAACACAAGGGCTTTGCTAAATTAACACTGGACAAGTTTTCCCCATGCCATGGCTGTGCGAAGGAAGTGAAAAACAATTCTTTTCTTGAAACCATTTTCCCTTGAAAAGGGGCGGCAAAAAATCTGCTGGCACACTCAGGAGCCATCTATCATGGCTACAAATATATAAGGCAATTGCTGTAAAACTTGAGTTTGGCTCTGTAAAGGAAAAAAAAAACCACCCCATGCCTGTTGCAAACAACCACAGCACAAAAAAAAAGCCTTACAAGGCTGGGGCAGCCTCACAGATGGATTGCTTTTTAATCCCCAAAGCTATGGTGATAAATCTTTTCACTGAAAGCTCTGGAGATACTGTGTCGCTCAGGGTGTGCGGCAGCGCAGGGGGAAAACAACTCCATGAGCTGCTGGGAGGGAGGGAGTCTCCTGGGAGCGGGGTCAGAGGTGATGGAGGAGGACGGGTGCTCACTGTGGGGGTGCTGAGTGGACGCGGCAGGGCAGGAGGGCTCCCTGCAGCCAGGAGCAGGTGATTAGGCAGGAGCAGGACAGAAGCTGCTGTAAGTCTGGGAGGACAGATGAGACAGAGACACATTTTGGGGAACGGCTCTTCGGACTAAGTATTTGGAAAGGAGGTGGTGGTGTGGAGCCCAACTTGGCCATGTGCTCCATATTGCAGGGACAGAGAGATGCTTCTCCCAGCTCCAAGCAAAGACGTGGAGCAATGGCATCACACACTCCCTGCAGCTCCTGGTCCCTCGATGTACCTCTGCTCTGTCCCCTCTGGGCTGCCTTGGGTCCTGAAATGTTTGTTCAGTTGACTCCCAGGCATTGTTTTGGGATGCCCCTTCCCTGCAACCATCCTGAAATGCCAGTCATTCCCCCTGGCCAGTTACATAGGTGGAGCAGTGGGAACAATTTACCCATCCCTTGCTTCTGTCTTCCCCTGTCCCGCAGGGCTTTTTACTTCTATACCACCTCCCTGGCAGGAATAATCCCTCTAATTTATACTGGGAAGGCAGCAGGGACTAGACTGACCCTGAGGGCTTGAGGCAGTTGGGAGCATTGTCCTCAGTGCTAACAGGCTCCATAATTCCCTTCCTGGGGTCTGCAATGAGCCTGAGGCTGGCAGTAGCCATCAACCACTGCTTTCCTAGTGATGGAGAGGCATAAAACCCTCTCCATGAAACCATTCTCCCTGAGGAGATCAGTTCTTTTCATTAGGTTACATGCCCTGACTGCAGATTTTACTATTAATTAAGGGATTAAAGGACTTGCCTGGGAGCCTTTGATTCCAGCATCTCTTGAGAGCCTGGCTGGCACGTGGTAACCCCGGACGTCTCCACACACTGTTGCCAAACCACAGCCAGGGGGGCAAAGTTTGCCCACACATCTCCACCCAGGAGGTGCCACCAGCTGTGCTGCAGCTGCAGCTTTGCCAAGTTGTTGGGATGTTTTTCAGGGTGATCCTGGCCCAGCTGTGTTTGAGGGGAGTGGGTAGGGGGGCAGCCCTCAATATCACTGCCCAGTATGCCACGGCCTGAGCAGAACACACCCCTCCTGTATCTCAGAGAGGGGAATTTGGGGTAGCCAAGAAGAATGGGGAGTCCCAGGTCAGGGGATGGCTAGACAGCTGGGGACATAACGCTGGATGAAGGCAAAGCCAGTGTCTTGTCTTTCTGGCTGCTCTGAACTCTACTCCAGCTGTGCTGAGACCCAGAATGCCCTAAAAAAACCCTGGGAACACACACGCTGTCCTCTGGCACTGACAAGGAGCTTGAGCTGGAGCAACCACAGCTGCATCCTTGCACAGCCTGGCTGCTCATGAGGAGGGGAACATGTTCTCCCGACTTTCAGCACAAGGGACCCCAAAGCTTCACGTGGGCACCTGTCTGTTGCTGCATAATAAAATACTATTGACTGCCTATTAAAAAGCCATTCCCTGGAGATTACTGGCTGGGGAAGTGGCTGGGTGAAGTGAGATGGGACAATAATGGCCATCAAGGAGGCATCAGTCACATCCACTCATGTAACAGCAACAAGAGTCTTCACATGGCTGCCAGAGTGCTGTTCCCTGCCAGGACCATCAGCAACAGCAGTCAGAGAGGGATGTCAATGCCCTTGGCCACGCTGACATCCTCCAGAGAGAGGCTGCAAGCAATCAGCAGGACTGAAGTCCACTGAAGTGCAGAGTTACTGCAGCCCAATGCCCACCCTCATTCAGCAGCACCCAACAGGACCCACAAGGGCTGAGGAAGGGCTTTGCCCATGGCAGATCCTGCTGTGGGGATGGGAAGTGGAGGGGAGCCATCTGCACTGCCCCTGAGCCAGGGACTGAGTGAATGGGGGCAGGAGGGAGTTTGCAAGCTCCAAATCCTGCCCATTTTTATTCACTGGCCTGGCCACAGTCCCATGTGATGTGCTCAGAAGGGGCTGGAAGCAGAGCAGCAGCTGCCAGTGCTCTGCCTGGGGCTTGCTCCTGCTGTATTTCTGCTCAGGTCCCCTCAGGGTCCACACTGCCCAGAGGCAAGGCCATGGGATGCTGAGCCAAGGAAGCCTCCACAGCTGGCCGAGGGAATCAGGGCTGGGGAAGTAGTGCAAAGCAAGAGCTCAAGCTGCTTGGACAGTCCCTCAGCTGCCGTTTCAGATCCTCAATATTTCATCCTGTGGGAGGACCTGGTGTACACCGGGGAGTCAGCAGCATTGATCTCAGACACGAAATTGATGGGTCCTTCCACCCCAGGAGAGCATGACCAGCCAGGCCACGCTCCCTGGCATTTTCACGACATTTTATGAGCCATGTGTCTGGGGACAGACTGATGGCCACCACTCTAGAGGCAGCTGTCCCTCTGCAAAAGCCCCAGCCCCAGCTCAGCCTGAGCATCCTGGAGACCAGGAAGGGTGCATGCATCCCACTTAATGCCCTCCCTGCTGTGCCCTGAATGTGCCTGGACCCGCAGACCCAAAGAGGCAGCAGAGCCCTCAGGGAGATCTGGTGAAACACCCTGGTGCCCACCACCCTGGTGCCCACCACCCTGGCACATGGCCCTCTCCAGGAGCACGGCCCAGGTTCAGTCCCATGCTGGGAGCAGCGCTGGGTCTTGGGGGACACAATGAGAGCACAAATCAAGCCAATGACCCTTTTTAATTCTCAGTGAGGCTCAATCCGTGCACAGCAGGGATGGAGAAGGGCTCCCCACATTCCCCAGGGGTTCAGGGGGCCACAGTGGGCAGAGGAAGAAGAGGGTGGCACCCATGAGATGTTAATCAGAGAGGGGAGAGGGGAGCATATTCATGGGGCACAAGGACAGGCATGGAGCTGTGCCTTGGCACTACAGGCAGTCAGGGGCTCCCTTTGTCCTGTATTTTCCCCTGCAGACTCCATCTTTGGAGAGAGCAGCCATACTCCTTCCCTTGCCCTCAAAGAGCTGGGAATGCAGGGTGAGAGGAAGGAGCTGTACCATCACCCTGCAGCTGGACACCAGCTGGCCCCACTGGTGCCACAAAATCAGGGTCATGTTGGCGCCAGAGAGCCCTGAGGACATCTTGAGGGAGAAGGCACCCACAGACTGTTTTTTCCCCACTCCATCCCATGCAAACCTCTCCCACCTCCATGGGTCTCACCCCAGATAGGAGCACCTCTCAGGGCACCCATCCAGCACTGTGCCCCAAAACAGCCCGGGATGCCTGACACCCCCAATACCAGCCCCTGCGGGTTCACCCCACTGGGCTGGGATGTTTTTGGGAATTGCTGGCATATCTCTGACATAGAAATCAACTGTCCCCACATCACAAGGGATGCCTTGGCCAGCCCTAATGCTGAGCACAGTGCGTGCAGTGCATCCAGGGCACAGCATGGCCACTGCCACCATGTCCCTGGAGCAGTGCTGTTGATACAACCAGCCTTTGCATCCCAGTGGGATGAGCCCAGAGAGTCAGGGACCCCTTCATTACTCCTGCCCCACTCCCCACCACAGAATGAGTGTCTTGTGGATGCTGGTGGTAAGGAAAGCTGGTCCCAGTCCTTCCGTGTCTCCCCACTCTTCAGCAGAGGGACGCTGTGTGGGTGGTGGCCTGGCCCCTTTCCATCTCCTCCAGCTCGTACTCCTCGGCGTCGGAGAGGGGCAGCCCGCTGGAGCCGGGCATGGGCTCGCACTCGGTGCTGCGGGTGGTGGTGCGGGTGACGCTGGGCGAGTATTTCCGTGACCACGGCGGGCGGTGGCCGGGGCGACACATCACCTCCTTGAACATCTCCCGGAAGCGGGTGGACATCAGGTTGTAGAGGATGGGGTTGGCAGCCGAGCTCAGGTAGAAGAAGACACCTGAGATGATGTGGACGTACTGGAACATGTGGAGCATGTTGCTGGTCCAGGTGGAGACAAAGCTCCAGACGAGGCGGTCGGTGTGGAAGGGAGCCCAGCAGATACCGAACACCACCACCAGCACGACTGTGGGGAGATGAGGAGCCATTGTTACTGGGAGGATGGGGTTTACCAGAGACCTCCAGTCCATGGCCAAGCACCTCCCCATTTCAGCTTTGGCCATAGCAAAGAACTGAAAATGCAAGACAGAGAGGAAGACAGAGAGTGGAAAGGTCCATCTAGTGCCTTTTGGACTTGTCATGGAGGGATTTGGAAGTCTGGTCAGGATCTCCCTCCCACCATCTCCTGCCAGGGCTGTTCTAGGGCTTCCTGTGCCACATATCTCCATTTCTCATTGGTAGGCAGCAGCCCTACCACAGCCCTGGGGCCATGAGCACAGCTGGGGGACTCACCTATTGGCATCCAGCCCCCAGGAACCTGCCACCTTCACCAGCAAAGTCCAAGGAGCAAGAGCTATTTGCAACCTTTCCTTGTACTATGGTTTTTGATTTTTTTTTATAACCCAGCTCTGCTGATGGAAAGCAAAGGGGGTAATGTATAGGTAGTCCTGGGGTCCCCTTCTCTGCCGTACCTGTGCCACGATGCACCTCTGCGGCATGCAGGGACGGGTCCTCCTTTGTCCCCCTCCCAGCCCTGGTGCCAGGGGAAGCAGAGTTACCACTTGTCTGGGACGCGGTGGGGAAGCAGCTCTGGCCCTGTTGTTGGACTGGGCTGGGCAACCTGCCATTGCTGTGCCATCACGGGACTGGGAGCGTGCAGAAGTCAGCATGCGGGGGAGAGACAGCTACCCATGAGCATCCAGCTCCCACTGCTGGAAGGGGGCCAGAGGCTGTGGGGACTGTGCTGGGGAGGAGATCAAGAGCACAGAGCAGGGGAACAGAGGATGCTCCAGTTCAGCCTTGGGTCATTGCCCCAGTACAGTGACAGAGGCTGCGGGGCTAGACAGAAATGGTCCCCCTCTGGGAAATCCCATCATTGCCACCAGCATTTGAGGTCTGGGCTGGGGGAAGGGGAGCAGGTTTTCCCAGTCCAACCCAACTCCTTTCCCTTTCTCACCCAGCACTTTCCTTGAGGAGGGGAGGTCTCATGGCTGGGAAGGAGCTGTCATGAGCAATCGTCGTGCTGTACTGGAACAACCAGATCTGCCTTTGCCCTAACACCCCATAAGCCAGAGCCACAGCCTTCCTCCAGGTTGACCCAGCCTCAGCATTCTGGACTGTCCATGCCTCAGTTTCCCCCCAGCACCCTCACAACACAGCCTTGGGAGATACTCCCTGGCTCTGCCATCCCCAGCATTGACTCACACAGCATCTTTGTGACCTGCCTCCTCTTGACTTTCTTCTGCCCCTGACTCTTGTGGCAGTTGCGGCTACTGCTGGTCTTGGCTCCCAAGGCTTCCAGCATCTTTTCTTTCTTGAGCTGCAGGCCGATAAGAAGGTAGAGGACACTGATGGTCCCCATGGGCAGGAAGAAGAAGATGATGGTGGTGATCTGGATGATGAGGTTGTAGGTCAAGCGTGGCTTCACCAGGGTGCAGATCTCTGAATCGGGCACCCGCCCCCGGCCTGGCACATAGAGAGGCTGCAGCCCATGGAGGCTGGTGTTGGGAATGGAGCAGATGACTGACAAGACCCAGATGGTGACAATGACCTTCTTGGCGTGATTCCTGGTCACCACGTACTTGGCTTTGAGCGGGTGCACCACAGCAATGTAGCGCTCCACGCTCAGGGCTGTGACGTTGAGGATGGAGGCGAAGCAAACGGCCTCAAAGAGCAGTGTCTTGAAATAGCAGCCGCTGGCACCCAGCAGGAAGGGGTAGTTGCTCCACATGTCGTACAGCTCCAGCGGCATCCCCAGCAGCAGCACCAGCAGGTCAGACACGGCCAGGCTGAACAGGTAGTAGTTGGTGGGTGTTCTCATGAACCGGTGCCGGAGGATGACAATGCAGGTAAGTGTGTTGCCCACAGCCCCCACCAAGAAGATCAGCAGGTAGATGACACACACTGGGACAAAGAAGCTGGACCGTCGAGGCCCCAGGTACTTATCCCGCAGCTGCTCCTCTGTCAGGTTGGCATCCTTGGGGTCAAACAAGGTTTCTGCGTGAGTCCTATTGCTGAGATCAGGACTGATGGGCTCCACAGGAAAGTCTTGCTGGGACAGGGGGAACTCGGGACTGGAGCAGTTGACGTAAGGATTCATGGCTGCAGAGAGACAGGGAGGTTTGCGGGATGCTTTCCCAACCCCTTTGCTAACCCTGCTCCCTCCGTCCCTCTCCCCACTGGTGTCAGGGTGCTGCTGATCACCATTGCTCTGCACCCTTGTGCCCATCCTACCCCAGCCACAGCCTTTCCTTTGGCAAAAATCTCAGAGGAAAATCTCCACCTAACCTCCCTCCAGGCTTCCCAAGTGCTTCTTGCCCAATTTCCCATCTACAAACAACCCTGGCAGCTCCCCAGCCCACCTTAGCCCCTTCACCCCGTCATCAAGGAAATGTCAGCAGGGGTCTGGAAGCAGAGCAGGACACAGCCCCAAAAGCCAAACCCAAAAATCACTCGCAGCTCCAATTCTACCAGCTGTGCAGAGGGACTGGCAGGGCGACCATAAAACAGCTGAGGGAAAATTGATTTTCCAACATGAGAAGGACTTACGGCTTGTTGAGAAGCTCCAGTTGAAGGCTGAGGTCCCACCACCCCTGCGCCGGACAGGGTCAGGCTGGGGAGGGAGTGTGGGAGGGGATGGAGACTTCACTGCCTTAAGAGGCAGGCTAACGAAATCTTGCGGCTGCTCTCCCCTCGGCTCAGCTCGGAGAAGCCGCCTGCCCTTATTCACCTTCTCCCTCTTGTTCTCTGTGAGCTGAGAGTCTGGTGGGTGAGCCGGGGGTGTGCTGGGGGCTTCCTTTCCCACCGCTGGCTGGGCAAATCCCGGTGCCGAGACCTCTATTCCTGACAGGGGTTGGCTCCTCATCTGCAACGTAGCACTGCCGAAAAGATGCTCCTCAGAGAGAGAGGAAATAACGTTAAAGTAATAAACCCCATTGACTCCGAGAGTCCCAGGGGAGGGCGGCGCAGGCAGGCGTCTCCAGCCCCGCCAGGAGCCTTCGCAACGCCGGCATTTGTCATTTGCATGGCCTCGGTGGTGAGTAAAGCGTCGATCAGCCCCGCTGCCGCCCTGGCGCTGCCGGGCACGGGGGCCTGTGCAGCACCTAGTTGTCCGGGCTCATCTCGGGGACATGCAGATGGACCCTGCGGCTTCTTGGCGTGTCCCCACTTCCAGATGTGCAACCCCTGGGTCACCCGAATCACCCTCCTGTGGAGCAGGTGGCTCCAGCCGGCTCCTGTCACACTTCGGTGCGACGAAGTTGCTGGGCTCGCAGCATCGCCCCTTGCTCCGTGTCCGGCTCAGCTCCCTCCCCGTTCCCAGTGTCTCTCTGCTCTCCAGCGTGTCCTCCGTGCGGGCACCCCGTCCTTTGGCAGCCCCCGGCCGCAAGGAGCACTCCCGCTTTGCCGTCCCGCAGCCCCCCGCACACACTCGCACAGATACGCGCACACAGAGGTACTCACGCGTTCCTGAGCCCCACGGGCGCGTGTCGTGGATGCGTGTCCCTACTCCACCCGCGGCTCCTCTCTCCTCCACGTGCTGCACCTGCCCGAGACCCTCCTGGAGCCAGCGGAGCCCACGGGCTCCCGATGCCCTTGCGGCGGCGAAGGGCTGTCGGTTGCGGGGCGGGAGCTCCCCGGCCCCGGGCTTTCCAGCCCGCCCCGACCCCCCGGAGGTGGGGAGGAGGCGGCGGGTGAGTAAGGGGGGGGGTGGGTAAGGGGGGAGGCGGCTGGGAATCGCTCCACCGCTCCATGAGACGGCTGCGGGCACTGCCACCCCGCGGGACGGGACGGGCAGGTGCCTGTGTGCACAGGGACACGCATCGGCCTCTTCATCCTCTCTGAGGGTGGCAGGGCGCAGGTGGACCCGATTCCTCCCGAGGATGACACCTTGAAGGGCTCTGGCATCCCGGGACCCTCCTCATTCAGCGTATCCCGGCACCATCCCACTCTGCACAGGGGTTGAACTGGAGCTGAAAGAGCCTCCGGTGGGGCTGGATTCGAGGAGGCAGTGTAGGGATCTTGGAGAGGGAGCGTGGAGAGACTTACCAGGAGAGACCTTTGCTCCCTGCTCCCACTCAGGCTGAGCCCCAGCACAGCTCACTGCACTGCTGAGCCTGGCACCTGCAGCCAGGATGTGAGGAGCTACCTGGATCGAGTGGCCTCCAGCATCAGGACACTGCCCCTGGCGTGCTGCACTCCCAAATTCTCCTCCTGATGTCAGAGCACACAGCAGATGGGAGCAGCACCACTCACCCCTTGGTGCTTTTGCTCAAAGAAATTTCAGAGCAGGTGAAGGATGACAGGGCAAGACCATCAAAGCCCTGGTCTGGCTTGGTAGCCTTAAGCTGGCCCCTACCTCTGCTCACAGCAGCAAACAGGCATCAAGCAGAGGGACCTGGCAGAGCAAACACACTGAGGACTGGAATTGTCTGGGGCTGCCCTGAGACATGACTTTCCTCGGAAAATCATCTTTTTCCCCAGAGGAAAGGAATTGCTGAAGCCAAAGGGCTGGAGGGTAAATGAGTGTAAACAAGACATTACTCAAGGGAAGAAATCAACAAGCTGGAAATAGTGTCTGAAATGGTGAGGGAGAGGGAGAAGAGTTGCTGCCTGCTCCTATGGAAGCAATGAAGGAAATGAAACTTCATCCCCTTTGGGGAAACGGAGACACAATCAAAGAGGGGTTTATGGCACAGTGCTGGTGACAGCTGGGACAGAACACAGGGACAGCAGCCAGATGATGCTGGCAGGGACTCAGCAGGACTGGCTCGGCAGATGCCAGGACGGGTGACAGTGCCAGGGAAGTGGCACGTTGCAGGTCACAGTCCCTGTGTGGCAAAGCCAGAATCAGGAGCTAATAAGGCACGAATTTCTGTCCCTGCCTCCAGACAGTGCACAGGCTGTTTTCCCTGGGGAATGCCTGAGGCAGGGGACGGATCTGTGCCAGTGCAAAGACAGGTTGTGCTGTACTGCTGAGGCACAAGGAGCCTGAACACAAGCCCACTTCAGGGATTGCAACAGGGAAAGAAACATTCCTGGAAATCTCTCTCCCTTCCATCCCTCAGCTGTCCCCTCTGTTTTCTGGCCACTGATGAGGATGGTAACACTCACCCTGATGAGCCAGCTCCCAGCGCAGTCCCAGCTGTTCCCCAAGCTCTGTGCAGTTACACAGCCATCTCCCCATCCTTGGGGCAGTTCCCTGCATGCAGCCACAATGCCTCCCACCCGTCTCGTACCTCATTCCTGCCCAAGCTTTGCTGTGGGGCAGCCCCAGGGGAGCCCCCTGAGCTCTGCACCGCTGTCCTTGTCCCTGCAGGGACCACCATGGCTCATTCGTCCTGCACTCCCAGGAGTATTAGGGACATCTGCTGGGACTGAGATGTTTGGAGGTTTCTTGGGTTGGAGCAAAGCAATGGAGATGCTGCTGAGCTCTTGACAAACTTCAACATCTGTTTCCCTAAAGTCTCCTTTCCTAGCTGAAGACAGCAGGCACATAGTAAGGATGGTGAGAGAGGAGCAGACAGAGCTTGGTTCACTCAGAGCTGAACCACAGGTTTACCCATCCCTCCCCAGGTTGTCAGATCCTGACTTCCAGGTGGTGATAGACCTCTCTGTCCCACTTAAGACTTACAGTCCAGCTCTCCCAGCCCCAGTTTTCCTGGGACACCAGAACCACCAGACATGGGGTCCTTCTCCCTTTGCCTCCATCACTTGCATCAGCCTGCTCGAGCATCCCACATAACCGGGGCCTCAACAGCTGCTCCCCCTCTACCTTCTGTTACCTCTTTGAGAAGAGTTGGTAGCTCTCAGGGACTGACTGCACATCATTTCTTTCCCTTGGATCTGCGTTTCTTGCTACACCCCACCTCTGAGGCCCCACACGTCTAATGTGATGATCCATTCAGAATGATCCATTGTCTTTTTCAATTTTCTGATAAACCAAATGACCAGGAGGTGACAACCCCTCTTCAACTTCTGCTCCCTCACTGCTTTAAAGAGGGTGAACTGCACATGGGAGCATGATCCTTCAACCTATTCCCCTTATCAAGTATTTTATTATATTAACCCTGCCTGGGGAGGTAGCAAGGGGGATGACCAGCAGCACAGCAAAACCTGCTCCTCCCCATGATCTGTCAGCCACATCCCAGCCGTCTCCATGGCCAGAATGTCTCTGGGTTAGGCTAAAATTGCTCCTGCTCCCTGATGTAGACCCATCCCTCTCAATGAACCAGCCAGTGTGGAGGTTGTCCCTCCTGGTAGCTGGGTCCCTCCACAAGGGGGTTAAGGCTGGCACACAGAAGTTGAGAAAGCACCGCTCTGCAGCATTTCCAGGAGAATTAAGAGGCCGAAAGTGAAGACAAACAGCAGTTTTGAAGCTTGAGAGGCACAGTCCTAATAACCAACTGCATCCATTCCTGGCTCTTTTCAAGAGTGGATCACAGTAATTGCAGGGCAGCCCAGCACAGCCTTTTAGAGCTGTCTGTGCTCCGTCCCTGCTTCTTCCCCCACTTTGCAGTTTTAATTAACAACCTCTGGTCCTGAGCGCAAAAAGCCACCAAGCCACAGAGTGACACTGCATCCAGGAGGAAAACTGAGGCATGAACAGTTGCTTGTCCCCTCCGTGCCATCCTGCAGCAGGCAAGAGCCCCTGGGATGCATCCTTCTGCCACAGAAGCAAGTGGATGAGCAGCCCCTTCTCAGGGTATTGCTGCAGCAAATTTTCCAGGACAGGGATAGCCAGCACAGACAGAACAGTCATGAAGCTTTTGGACAAGAATGAACCCTCTCTCCCTGGAGAGCAGGCAAATCTCTTGGCCATGGGGATGTGTAAGAGGTTTCTCTCCCTGCTGGGAGCTGCCTACTCAAAGTTGCCCCTCTTGTCACCTGGAGGTGACATGTCTAGAGGATGCATTTCACAGAGCAGGAGGATGCTTATTTCAGTCCTCAAGGCCAGGAAGGGCCACTCAGACTCACAGGGCACTGAACTGAGATGGATCTGGGTAATTTTGCACAAACATAGCCCAGGGTGAAGGTAGGGCATTGGGGTGGCCTTTTCAAAGCAGTCCTGATGTCATTTACCCAGCAGAGCCCCCCTCCCACCTTGTCTCTGTGGGACACCCTCCTGTAGTAATCTTTTGGCTTCCCTGAGAAACAGGCATTTCTCCTCCACTCCATCTAGGCTAAAAGGAGAAGGAATGAAGGGGAGGTTAAAAAAAAAAAAAAAAAGATATCCATGGGAGAGAAGACCATTTCAATGTCCACTGGGGTAAAAGCAATCAGCTCTCTAAGGAACAGCAAAATTGACCTCTGCTCCATGGCATGTGTCCCCCAGGTCTGTTTGGGGGGACAAGGAAAGTCAGGCATTCTGTGAGCAGGTATTCAAGCCCCATGGCAACCATAAGTTTGCTAATCAGGGCTGGCACAGACTTTAAGTGCTTTTTCATCTGGCAGGACCACTGGGCTCTTGCAGGTCCCCATCAGGCCAAGTTGCCTGGTGGTGCTGCCTTGGCTGTGCTCCCTGCACAGTGATGGACTGGGATGAGGGCTGGATGCAGCCAGGGCACCCTGACAAGAAGCTGCAAGGTCCCAACACTGTGTCCTCCATCCAGCAT